GAAGGGCCTGTTGTAGTGGTTCTCAAGTGTCTTTGCCAGAGGCGGAATTGCCCCGCCGTTGCCGGGGCTGGGCTAAGTAATCTGCTCGAATTTGCTCTCGGAAACTTTTGTTCCCTGCAAGCTTTCTGTACAGCTTTGGAGGACGAGAGCGAAAATGTGAGCCTCCCAATTTCCACCCTGGTGGAGCCGAGAACTCGGGGCCCCACTACTCAGTGTGCCCCCAGAGAAAAGCAGTCAATCACTCCCGTCTCCCCAGTCTCTGGCCACACTCCGTGCTCACCGGGCCTGTGACCGAGCGTTTTTGTCTCTGGCACCCGACCCCGTGTGGAGTCTCCAAACCCAGGAGTTCCCTGCGGTGCGCTCCCGTGCCGCTCCTCCCGGGGCAGGAAAGGGAGTCTCCCCGGATCTGCTGCTTTTTGGGTCCCTGCTGGAAGAGCAGTGGCCTGACTGCCGCGGATCCAGGTTTATGGCAACCCCAAGCTGAGAGCCCATTCCTTGGCTCCTTTTGTGCAGCCGGCTTCCCTGCTCCGATACCTGGGAGCTCTGCCCCGCACTCAGGCACCCCCGGTCTTTCTGTGACCCCGAGGGTCCTGAGATCACACTGTCCCAGTGAGGGTTCCACCCTCTGCTTAGCCACTGGAGAGATGTCCCTCAACAGAGCCAACTTCTAAAAGTTCCGATTTTGTGCTCTGCGGCTCTATATCACTTGCCGTTATCCGGGTGATGGAGGCCCCCCCTCCCCCCCGCTCGCGATCTGTTTTCCCGTATATCGCCTCGGATTCACTTCTCTCCCATGTCCTACCTTCCAGAAAGTGGTCGCTTTTCTGTTCAGAGAGTTGCTGCTATTCTTCTCTTCGATCTCCTGTTGAGTTCGTAGGTATTCAGAATGGTTTGATCCCTATCAAATTCCTGGGACCAGACAAAATTTCGGAAATGCTGAGTTTTAAGATTTTTTTTTTCCCTTAATGATGAAAGTCTGTTTATGTTCTCACAGTGTCCAATTTGAATATTGTTGCATATAAGAGCAAATAGGGAAAAAAGAACTTTAAGGACTATTGATTTTACTTGCCTGGACAGATATGCCATTATCATCCAGGTGTCTGAAAAGGTACTTTTACAGACCATGTTATAAAGAAACTTTTATGGTTATCAGATCCAGAACAGGATTTCATTCTTAATTCCAGCTTTCCAGAATGTTTCCACAAATTCACTTTATTGTAGAATTTGGTTTCTAAAAGCCTATTATCTCATTGGTCTTTCCCTTATCTGTCCAGACTTACTTTCTAAACATATACCTGGTTTTTGTGACATAGAAAAAATAATTTTAGAAGTGCGAAAAGTTAATGTCATTAGAACCTTAGTCTCAGGTAAGTATTTACTAAGTCAGTGCATTAAGTTTAATTTGTAATGCGTTAGTTCCTTCAGAAATAAAAGTGAAACATTTCAGAAAAAACCGGCTAGCTCCAGCTAGTATTGTGATTGGATTTTATTGAAAAGAGGTTGTAACTGTTTGTCAGTGGGAAGGAGCCTTGACAGTTGTAAAATTTTTGACAATTGTAAAATTCATTTCTTTATAACTATGTATATGGAATATTACTTTAAGTTAGGTATATGTATTTCTGCCAGTGCTGCTAATTGTTATTCCATAATAGCAGGATTTATTATTGCTGAAAGTGTGACATTTTGCTTTATGTGAAAGCACTGAAATCATTCCATAGATTCTGATATATGTTACTCAGAACTCTTTGGGATATTCATTTCAACTTTAACGTGAAGACATTTTTATATAATGTCATTTTGTTTTGTTATAATGCTTTGAGAGTATTCCAGCACATGAGACTTCTAGTTTAGTCTAGGCTTCTATTTTTTCTAGCTCATGCGTAAGGTACTTTTGGCAAGTAGGCTGTGCAGCTTCTTAAAAATACAGTGACAGCCAGTTTTTACAATAAACCTAAGATTTTTTGTGTGGTGGCTGTTGATCTTGACTAAACAGTTAGCAGAATAACAGAAGTATCTTTCTGTATATGCCTGCATTTCTGGTTAACCCTTTTTTGGAATTTCTGTTTTCCCAGATAGGAAAGTAAAAGTGTACAGACATTCATTTTTCATAACTCAGATTCTTTTTATTTTTTATTTTTCTAAAGCCAACAGCTTCTATAACATTATGCTTTGCCCTGAAGTCTAACTTAAAACTGCTTGGAATTGAAACTGCTTTTCTTCTCAGTTTCACATTTGATAAAGGATGCTACCAGTGCTTTTTATAAATGCTTGAGTGTGAAAGACTTAAGAGATTGAACATGTACTTATATTTTGTTAGTTTCTGCTGTATAAACAAGTAGAAGTATAAAGTTTTGAAATGTACTTCAGGTTGATACACAGTTGGAAGTATAGAATTAGAATATTGGTGAATGAGTGGGACTAAAATAATAGATTTACAAATTAAATAAGGTGGTTTTTGAGACCCAAGTGCTGGAGTGTTCACATGAGCAAGTAAAGCTAGGACTTTGGGGCCAAAACAGCTTGAGGAACTCCAACTATTTTTGGGAATGAGTACATAAGCAGAGGGTTCGAAGCAGCTTCAAATGAATCAGGGAAGTAAAAAAACTAGTTATGAATTGTTAAGGGTGTTGTGAGAACAGAGAGATTTGGTAAGGATGAGAGGGCTCACAGTATTTTGACCATGAATGGATTTAACAAATTAACAAATTAATGAGACTGTTCATGTGAAAACTGCAGGTAATGACCAGTAAAGAGCAAATGTCAGTCAAGGAAAAAAGAGACTGATCAAAGGTGAAGATGTTCACTATAGAATTGAGGTAGAAAGCCACTTTTGAGTTTGGAAGAGAAGTTTTCAGATAGAAATAGTTTTTACATTTTTTTTTTTTAACATATTATTTGTTTTGAATTTGAGAAGAACATCTTAAGCAAAAGGCTTTAAGAAGGCTGAATAACATATGGAAAATGATGTGATTAAAGATTTCTGCAATTTATGTACAACCTATATGCATAAATAAAAGCATTACTACGTTGTTGTTGCCTTAGTTCTTCGAAATCATTTTAATTATTACTGGTTTTACATTCACAAATCAATAGTTTGTGGGTTTACCTGGGGAATGGAAGGGAACAGATCATGGAAAGAAGTCCAAATTATTGTACTTTGTCTTCTGAAGAATCACAGATGTATAACCCAGAGAGACCCAGTCTTCCTTACTTCTCTGTTAGGCTAATAAATGGCCTATGTGTTTCATAAGCTAAGGGCTATACATTTTCTTGTGTCCTTTTTCTTTTCCAGGGATGGAGTGTTTTTATATATGAAAGTATGCTTAGTCATATGACTAAAAAGTCCTAATTTCCTTATTTCATGTTCTTATATTCTCATATAAAATGAAAACTTCCATAATATTTAGCACTGAAATATGAATATTTAGTAGCCACCTCTTCTAAAACTATTCACCAACTGAGGGAGTATCAGAGTATGAAGAGAATGTAAGTTTTGATGTTACATGGTCTTTGGGAGAAAAGTACAGATCTTTTGTTAGCAGTTGTATATAATGTGATATTTGTTTTTGAGATCCTCCTATAGTGTAGTGTACTATTTAGTCACCTCTCCCAATAGACTGTAAGAGAGCATTGGGGATCTTATTGATTATCTTGTTCACTGCTGTACCCCCAGAGCCTCAAATAGTGCCAGACACATTCTTGATACTCAGCAAATTTTCGATTACTATTATTTATTTTTAGGGAGAGCTGCACACCCAAGTGGTTGGGAAGGGCACAGATAGAGGGAGAGAGAGGATCTTAAGCAGGCTCCATGCCCATTGCAGAGCCCGACACGGGGCAGGATCTCATGATCCTGAGATCATGACCTGAGCCAAAATCAAGAGTCGGATGCTTAACTGACTGAGCCACCCAGGTGCTCCAATACTCAGTAACTCTTAAAGAATCAATGTGTGAATGAATTTTAAAGACACTTAGAGATCAAATTGATCTTAGAATTTTATAGATATTGTTGAATATATACACACATACAACACACACACATACAATGTTTATGGATAGTGTTGATTTGGAGAGTACTATGAAGTACCTAAAGCTACATACAAGTGGAGTATACATGTATATTTCTCAGCTTATTAAGTATCCTTCGTTTTAGTTTGTTTCAGAAATATCCTTTAGTCCTTAGACCATTTGGAACCACTGATACGGAATAGTGGATAGATTGCAAGTTCTTCAAACAATTTTACATAAAACATAACCTATTTTATTGTGTCTTTAGTAGGACTTTTATTTTTGGTGAGGCTTTGGAATCAAGGCAGGTAACTAATTTGTTGATTGAAGTATATCAGTTTAAAGGTCAGAGTACTAGAATAAGTTAATCAAGTCCATGAGTGTTTTATAGTATATAGATGTTGATAGTGACAAAATAGGTAGATTAAGTGGTGGTATGAGTAAGTTAGGAGAGGCTCATTGTAAGTAAGCCATAATGTGGATTGTCTGCATAATTATTTTTACAGAATTGCCTTCTTTGCTCCCACTTTTGAGTATGATATTTTCCAAATTGAACCATTTATAATTTCCCAGGTAAAATTAAAATCTCCTTAATTTTTGCCGAGTCAAAAGTTTCACTTTCTTTTTGTATTTCTGTTAGTCTGTAATAAAATTATTAAATTGTAAGATAATTGTGTTCTTTAGCACTGGACAATTTCTTTATGAAATTGTATTTTAATGTGTTTTTGCTTATTTATTACTCTTTACATATACTATTCAGAAACATTTATCTAATAGTTATCTTAATTGATAATGTAATTTTATCTAATAGCAATTGGTGAACATGATTTTCTCTATTCCTTTGGAAGCCCGGCTTTCAAATTTTTAGGAGTTATTCAGGTGTACTCAGCTATGTTTTTAAGTTCTTTTTTAAACTTTGTTTTGTGTTTTGTTGTTTTTTTTTTTTTACACAAATCAGGAAAAATAATAAAGACTTTTTTAATGTCTTTCAGCCAATGGTAATGATAGCAAAAAATTTAAAGGAGAAGATAAAATGGATGGTGCTCCTTCTCGTGTACTTCATATTCGAAAATTACCTGGTGAAGTGACAGAAACTGAAGTTATTGCTTTAGGCTTACCTTTTGGTAAGGTGACCAACATCCTTATGCTGAAAGGGAAAAATCAGGTATGCTTCTTTCAGGACCTATAAAATGTTAAGCCCCAAACTACCCAGTATGCCTGAATTAGCTGACTTCTAATAAAAGGATAGACGATAGTAGGTCCTAACTTTTTTAAAAGAACATAACAGAAGTCTTACTCTGGCTTTTCCTGGTGATGCTGTTTGAGAAACTAATGCTAAGGAGCCAAAATGAATACGTCACTGTAGTTTTCAATTTTGCCTTTTGAATTCACTTTTGGATTGTTATAGATTGGATTGTTAGATTTTGGATTGTGGAAAATACAGAAATACAAATGAATACAAATGAAGGATTTCTTTTATTGTGGCTCTACTCTTTGTAATATCAGAAAACAGTGGGGGCACTATCAGCATCTTATCCTTTAAACGTATCCAATGGAAATATTTATTTGATAGCATTAGAAGAAAATAGTCACTAATCCTAGGTATTCTTCATTGAATAAATGGTACCTGTGGCAGAAAGACCAAGGCATATTAAAGTAAAACTTTGTTTTAAAATTTCTAATGATACCATTTAGAAGAATTTAGTGACATTAATGAAATATAAATAAATATAATTAATATCACTAATAATCTGATATTTAACTTTTAATTTTTTTCTTTGTCTCTTTTGAGTTATACTGCTTTAAAAATGATTTTGAGATCTCTCATGTTCTCTAGTATCAGAATGGTAAAATTCGGATATTGAAAAATGTTTAGATTTTATTTTCTCTAGCTTTTGTTGGACTACATTTGTGGTGTATGGAAGGATAAGTAAGGATAACTTACTTGAGTGTCTACATGTAACTGGAAAGGTTACTCTAGAGACTGATTTTTCTCATTAGCTGAATAGATTACACAGATATTGAAGTTTACCTGAATATAATTCATAGTATTCCAATTTTTGCTATTTAAATTTTCAGGCATTTTTGGAACTAGCAACAGAGGAAGCAGCTATTACTATGGTTAATTACTATTCTGCTGTGACACCTCATCTCCGTAACCAACCAATTTATATCCAGTACTCCAATCACAAAGAACTAAAAACAGATAATACGTTAAACCAAGTGAGTATGTGTAGGTACATAAACAAAATGGACATACTAATCTCAAACTTATTAACAGAAAGATGTAACTATGGGCATTTTCTTGTTTTTAAGATATTTCCTTGCGGTATATCCCTAAATATTAAATATTATGTTAATTTACAAAAAGTATGTGCAGTCTGTTTTCATGTTTTAAATAGGTACTTGATGAATTAGTTAAATAATATTCTTTCAGAGCGTTAAGGTTCTGGTCAGAATGTTCATTTCCATGTTGCAAGTTCAGATTTTTGTGTAGAAACTTGTTTATGAGATTGGGCTCACTGTTCGCATAAACTGTAGAACTCTGCTGCTTAGACTTTTAAGGTATGATTTTAATGCCTTTAGTTATCTGACTTTTTATAGGCCTTAGGTTTCTCCTGGAAAGATTTTTATTGAAGATGTATTAATGGTTTTACTTGGGGAATGTAAGAATTGAGAATATATGAATATGTGGATTTATTTTTTTAAAATGTGATGTAGAAGATACTAATTATTTAAAAATATATTCTAAAAAATAATGTAAGAATGGGTTTATACCTAAATACATAGCAATGCAGGAATGGTCTAAAAACTTTAGCTCTTTTAATATAGTTTTTAGCTAATTACATCTTTTCTGTTTCAGTAAAATCTAAACTATATCAGACTCTTTGTCTTACTGAAAATGTAACAGACTAATAATTCTTCATAGATTTTAACCATCATAAAAAGTGACCTTTCAAGATCATTTTGATAGTTTATAAATAAGCATTTAAAACTTCTGTTTGAAGGCTAAATATTCTGGGGTTTTTTGTTTGTTTTAATTTGGTAATAATTTTCATTAATTTTGAACCAGAAATTGTACTTCTAAAAATTTATCATTGGAAATATACCAAAAGAAAATATTCTATATTCATTTTACTTAGAATTTAAAATGGTATATTTCAATTTTGTTTTATATATTAGTATTTTTAGTAAAGTAATTCATGAAGGCATTCTCATTTTAAAAGCTTCCAATGCAAGGAACATGAAAAGGATAAAGATAAGGCATCTTTATAATCTTAAATAGGGTTAGGAAATAAATGCACTTACTCTGGTCTGGATAATCTTAAATAGGGTTAGGAAATAAATGCACTTACTATTATTCCAGATATAGGGAACAATCAATGCAAAGTTGCTTCTGTTGAAAAACACCTGGTTTTGCAGCCATATTTTTAGTTTTCAGAAACCCTTTAATCTTTTCTGGTCATCTTTTTTTGTTAAAATTGGTCGTGTTTTATGATTTCACAATTCTTTCAGTATACTAATTAATAGTACTTTATTTTTAAAACCATACCTTTTTTTTTTTTTTAAAGATTTTATTTATTTATTAGAGAGCGGGAGAAAGCATGGGGAGGGGAGGAGGAAGCAGGCTCCCCGCTGAGCAGGGAGCCCAACAGGAGCTTGATCCCAGGACCCCCGAGATCATGACCTGAGCTGAAGGCAGACGCTTAACCCACTGAACCACCCAGGTGCCCCTAATTAACAGTATTTAAAAAAATACTTCACTATATGTAAATTATCTCATTTCCTTCAATGTTAGCTGTTATGTTTATCTTGTATCCATCTTTCTGTCCCTCCTCCCCCAGTAGTCTTTCATATTTCAGAATTAGGTTTTACTTGTTGGAATGGTATGCTTTCCTCTAGATTAAGTAATGAGTTTGGATACTAAGCTGGGATCCCCCAAATACCAAAAAGGTCTGGGCCAATAAAACTCCCTTTAGAATTCCTGTTTCTTTGAAGGGAGCATTTTGTTGTTTTTGTTTTTTAATGGTTAAGGGAGAGGAGATGATGGGGGAGGGGAGGAAGAGGAGTTTAACTGTTCATTAGGCAGACTTTCCGTTAACCCTTTTATATCCCCCCTCTGCCCTCTGTGACTCTCCCAGTTTCTCTGATTCACGTGGCTGTCAGTGCAAACCCTGTTTGCTATGTCTTCTGTGTCATTTGTTTCTGTTCCTTTTCTGTATTCCAGAAATTTGATGAAAGTATTCTCAGCTAACAACATTCTCTCTATTCAGTATTTGGGTTTATTCCATTTTGTATTCATTTTTGGGCATTTTTAATTAATTTTTTAAAAAGATTTTATTTATATATTTGACACAGAGAGATAGCGAGAGCAGGAACACAAGCAGGGGGGAGCGGGAGTGGGAGAAGCAGGCCTCCTGCAGAGCAGGGAGCCCGATGCTGGGCTTGATCCCAGGACTCTGGGATCATGACCTGAGCCGAAGGCAGATGCTTAACGACTGAGCCACCCAGGCTCCCCTTTATCAAGTTTTTAATTTTAATTCCAGTATAGTTAACATAATGGTGTTATACTAGTTTCAGGTGTACAGTATAGTGATTCGGCAATTTTATACATTACTCAGTGCTCATCATGAGAATGTACTTTCATCCCCATCACCTCATTTATAGGCATTTTCATGGGCATTCATAATAGGAGAGGCAAATGAATATGAGTCAACCATGAATTCTTCCATGATCTTTCATGAAGTTACCAACTCTTTTCAATTTACTCTTATAATATCTGCCTAGTTTTCATCATCTTTCTTGTTACTTGAACAGCTCATACACACACAATCACCTCTTGGCTATATTGTTATAATAGCTCGTACTGATCTATTTTTTACTTTCCCCTCTTGAATTCTTTCTCCCTAGTACCTCTCCCTCCTCTTCCCTTCTCTCCCCTTCCCATCATACAAATCTGCATCAGATCCTTTTCATGTTCACAATAAAGGCCCTCAGAAAAGGTGGCTACTATTTCTGTTTTATTGGCTATATATTTGCCTATGCTTCTACCCAAAAGTAATTGTAAACCTGGCATGCTTTCTCTTATTTCCAATATTTTGGGGCCACTGTGTTTCTGTGATGTTACTTTTGCCTGGAATATTATGGCCTGCCTGCCCTTGTACCACTTTTCCAACCAACACTTCACATGGCCAGTTGCTACACATCTTCACGTCTCACCTTAGTTCCCTCCAGAAAGCTATCTTTTGATCCACAGAGTGGATTAGGTTTGCACTAAGAAACCTCAACACAAATTAAAATCACAGTGAGATACTACCATGTACCATCAGATTGATGAGATGAGTGATGCCAAGTGTTGGTAACAAGGTAGAGAAGCTAGAACTTTCATATATACGTATGGGAATGTAAATTCATAGAATCATGTTTAAAAAACTTGAAATATGTATTGAAGCTGAGCATATACATATTCTTTGACTTAGTAAATCTACTCCTAGTTACATACCTGAGAAAAACACATTATATGTGCATCAAAAGATATGTATGAGAAAGCTCATGGAACACTAATGCATAATAGTCCAAAGCTGGAAATGATCCAGATGTTCAGCAGCAGTAGAATATGTTGTGGCATATTCATTCGTTGGAATTTGTTAGAATACAAAAAAATGACCAAGCTGCTGGTACCTGCAAAACATGGATGCACATCATAAAAGTAACATTTATTGAAAGAAGACAAAACAAAAGAAAAAAACACCAAAAAATGCCAGGCCAAAGTAGAACACATACTATGTGATGCAATTAGGGTTTTGATAATGTTCTATTTTTGTCTAGTCATTTCATAGATCTGTCCAATTTGTAATGTTTTATTGAGCTTATACACTTCTGATTTGTGTCCATTTATATGTATATGTAATGGTTCTCTAAGTTTAATTAAAACCTAGATTGGCAAGCCAACTCTGTTTCATCAATTAAAAAAATTTAGAAAGTTATTGTTAATGATAATGGAGAACCTAATTATTAAGCTAAAAAGAGAAGATGGAGAAAAGTGAATAATATTGGGGAAGAAGGTATGGAGTAGACATATACCTATGTGCTTATGTAGACTAGATACATATATGCTCATGTGTAGATGGTATCTCTGGAAGGGATACCCACAATAATATTGGTGAGGAATGGGTAGGGGAAAGCAGATAGAGTGATAGGGTTGCAGAGGAAACTTAACTGTACCATTTGGATAATATATCATGATCATGTGATTCCTTTAAAAAGACATTCCATTATTTGAAAGAGGAGATGTTAGTGTTTTCCTAATTTGTGATATTTCTTTGCTTGTAATAACATAAATATATCCAAGGACATGCTTTATTCATGAAGGAAGTAATATTGCAGTATACTGCTTAAAATACTTTGAGTCACTTTAGCCAATATATAAATTTGTAGGTCATATTATTTCATTAGCATTTAAACAATGAGGTTTAACCAGATGGGCATGTGGTCTCTTTGAATTCCAAACTCTGTGATCTCCTGGTTATGTGACATTTCAGTGAACTATTTCTTTTTTGTTTCCAGATTTATTGAGATATAATCGATATATTGTGTAATTTAAGGTATATAATGTGTTGATTTGATACACTTCTATATTGCAGAATGATTATCACCATAGCAAATGTGCTGCTAGAGGGAGCACTATTTTTGTTTATTCTCATAAGTGTTGGCCTAATTCTTTTATGTTCTCCTTCCTTTTCATTTATCATGGTGTTCAGTTAATATTCCTATTCATCTGCCAATATAGCTTTTTCAAACTCTAAAGCAATGTAACAGTATTTGTCATTGTTACTTAATAGTTATTTGCCTTTATGTAGGTTTTTTGACTCCAGATAGGTAGAAAAATTATTTCCTTATCAATGAACCTATCACAGTAGTAATATTCTATTGTGTATTTTTTTTCACATTTTAAAATCTCAGAAATTTAAAAAAAAACTCAGAAATTGTGTCTCAATAGTAGTGGATCTCTCCTGGTTTAATTAGCAGTATCTTAGAAGTTATGCTAGTAATGAAAAAGGACTTAATATGTATCCTGAGTATTCCTCCTTTAAGATTGTATTAGAAGTAATCTAGTAATCTTGCTGAGGTTTACCATGTGCCTTTTTTATGGAGTGACTAATATTAGGTTGAAGTTTTATTGTTCTCTAAAAGTTTCTGTTTAAAACATTTTCTGATTATGTGAATCTGCCAAACTATATTTTGTTTTGTTTTGTTTTGTTTTAAGATTTTATTTATTTGTCAGAGAGAGCACAAAGCAGGGGAGCGGAGGCAGGGTGGGAGAAGCAGACTCTCGCTGAGCAGGGAGCCTGATGTGGGACTCGATCCCAGGACCCTGGGATCATATGACCTGAGCTGAAGGCAGACGTTTAACCGACTGAGCCACCCAGGCATCCCTATATTTTGTTCTTTTGAAAATAAATTACTTTGCCTATCTTTGCTTGTTCAATATAGTTCCCAAACCCTAGATAATTGTTTTGAAGTAAATACTAGTAGAATACTTCAATTATAAACAGATAAAAACTGGCTCTTGGCAGGTGCTCAGAAAGCATTTATTGAGTGAGTGTTAAATTTTGTTTAATCTGTATGTGTTCTAGAAAAGAAATGAGCTAATAGTGTAACGTGCAGCAGAGTAGAGTGAAAATACTGAGTGTGTTTCTAAAGTGTTTATCTGTCAATTTTCAGCGTGCTCAAGCAGTTCTTCAAGCTGTGACAGCTGTCCAGACAGCAAATACTCCTCTTAGTGGCACCACAGTTAGTGAGAGTGCAGTGACTCCAGCCCAGAGTCCAGTGCTTAGAATAATTATTGACAATATGTACTACCCTGTAACACTTGATGTTCTTCACCAAGTAAGTTTAACTTAATTTTCATGTTTACCCATAAACTGGAGAAATAATGATACAGCAGATAAATAATACTTTGATTTTAATGTTTTAACAGATATTTTCTAAGTTTGGTGCTGTATTGAAGATAATCACATTTACAAAAAATAACCAGTTTCAAGCTCTTCTCCAGTATGGTGATCCAGTAAATGCTCAACAAGCAAAACTAGTAAGTCTGGAGCTTTTTTTTTTGAGATAGCGATATTTTTCAGTGGCAGATAGATATACATGCATATATGTAGCTAATGTTATTAATACTGACATAACTTGGCAGTACCGTGTAGCATTATAGATGGCACAAATTGGTGTCATTTAGATACTATTAGGAAAGCTTAAATTTGTGGTAAAGAAGTATTTCTTTTTAAGGATAGTTGTATGTGTAGTTATCTATAATACAGACTTCTGTTATTTTGCATATTTTTTTGACTTAGGTCCAAAGTTTTAAGCTCTTGAGGATGGAGCATGCACACCAGTAAAGATCTTAAATGTTTTTCAGTGGGAGTTTCAGAGTAATTAATTTCGCTATCAAGACAGTTTGGCTAAAGTGTATCATCACACATGTGGCTCAGATGTTATTATAGGTTCTCAGTTTATTTAAGACTACAGTATATTTAATATTCTTTTTAAAGATTTGTTTTTAAAGGCAGCTTTTGTGAATAGGTTCCTAGTCTACTTTTTATTTACATCCTTTATATTTTTTATTGTTATATATGGAGGGTAAGAAACTATTAAAAGAAGTAAAATATGTTCCCACATCATGGCTACCCTTGAAAACTGCAAACTGTATCTTTGCTTCTAAATGCCTTAATCTTCTGTTCGTGTATAGTATTTAAATCCACTTTGCTCTAGCTTTTTAACTTCTTGTGTCATATTATCTCATTGTGATGATTATTCTGTTGTTAAACCCTTAAATATTCATTATTAAACCATTACATCAACTGTCTTATCTTCCTTTACCTTCTGACTTACCTCTTTTTCTCCCTTTTACTCTTACTTTCAAACTAATTATGGTGTAGTACTTCAGTGCTTCCTCTAGATTAAGATAGATTATATGGAACCTAGACCATTTTTGATTGTTTCATTGTGTTTCTATCCTCAGAATCTCATTTGGGGAGCAAAAATAGCTTCAGGTAGCACAAAGTCTGTACTGTTAATATTGGCATAATTGAAATGGTTTAGCAAGTGCTGTTATCTCATTTTTTCCTGATATTTTATGTTGTAAACAGAACAGGAATTTTTCCTGTGTTACAAGGGGAGGCTAATATTTAGAGGTAAAAAAATTACTGATCGTAGTACACACTATATGTGAGGTAGACATATTTTCAGCCTGTTTTTCTCCAGTATGTTGTAACTCACTGGTTCTTAAGTTACATGACCTAATCTTATTATATTTTCCTTTTCAGGCATACATTAACACTTGGAATTCTTTTTTCCAAAAATAATTTCTCTTTACGTGCCCCAGCCCTCCAACTTTGGAGATACTTTGTATTTAAAGAGTAGCCAAAATCCATGTGGTATGAGGTTTGATCAGTAGCAGACAACCTAGAAGCCATGATCTTTATGGCTTTTTTTTTTTTTTTTTGTACCTTCACAACATATTTAAATATAGTGCATGTTTTTCTTAATGTGGAATATTTTTTGTCATCCCTTCTGATGCAGAGGGATGAGTATTTGGTAAAAGACCAATGAAATGGAATTTGATTTGGAATTACACTGCATTTGGGCTATAATTCAATAGGGAAAGTAGTTTATATGTGTGTTTTATCTGAAGTAATCTATAGTAATCTAAAAGATTATGCTTTAATAATGTTATCAGGTATTTGAAGTTTTCATTTAGCCAATCTTCCGTGTACAGATAATAAGCATCAGGCATTTGTTAATGTCATATACACTCACTCAGGTCTTTTCTACAAAGATGTACAATTAATTGTAATTCCAAGAGAGTAGGTAATTATTTAATATTAATTACTAATGAACTATTCTGGTATCTGAACTTAACTTCATTTCACTATTATAATGAGAAGGAAAAAAGTTTATTTCCCAAACTTGCTTGCCCCATTATCTTGTAACCCTGACACCTTGTTAAAACATATAGTTTTGATGACTGTAGTAATCTTTCTTCATGCTTGTATCTGGACTGTTTAGTATACCTAGAGAATATCATATAATCTAGCAGTTGGTACCGGTTGAAATTCATCATCATCAACTACAACTAGACTAGGCCCTCTACTTGAAAAATCTTACCATATTTCTCTAGTCATCATGCTGTCCCATTTTTCACAATGACTATATCAAAAAATTCTCTTTCCACCAAGTCTCTCCTTACTCCCCCTTATGACCTTGCCTCCTGCTTCTCAGGAAAAATAGAAACTATCAGATGGAAACTCCAATCAGCTTTTTTTACAAAATCTACTTATACCACACCTATCTTTCTCTTGTAATAAAAGGCATAGATATTTCTAAGACAGTAACACCAGATTCTATCCTCTTCTGCCCTCCAAGAGACTTTGCACTGTCATCCCCTCTTTCTCTTATATTTTTCTCTCTGTTGGCTACTTCTCACCAGTGTTTGAAACATCCTTAAATCTCTTTCATTGTATGTGAATTTACCCTGAACTCCACGTAACACTCCATCTGTTCACCTATTCTTTTCCCTTTTCATTTATAGCCAGAGTTAGTAAATAAGCTCTCTTTGTTTGCTGTTTATACTTACCTCCTTTTTATTTCTCTACCTACTGCAATTTGGTTCCAACCCCCCTTTACCCAAATCGTTTTTCCCAGTGTCACCAGCGATTGCTACAGTGCTAAATCTCAACAGTATTATTCAATCCTTACCATCCCTATCCTCTAGGTAACATTTGACAGTGTGAGCCATTCTCTTTCTTAAAATCATCTCTTCTCCTGGTCTCTAACACTTCTCGCTTAGATATATTCTGCCTCTCTGACTATGTCTTATCATATCCCTCCCCTTTCTGCATGGGGGACTACCTGTTCCCACATCCCACAAAGGTATTATACCTTTGTGACTCTGACATGCCCACATGACTCTCTAGCATCAGATCTTTTCTAAGAAATCCAGACCAGGAACTTAGTGGACCATCAGGCACCTTCAGACTTAGTGTGTTCAATTCAACTCCTGTAACTTACCCTCTCCTCCCCCCGCAAAAAAAAAACCTGCCTCACCTGTGGTGTTTACTGTGGTAGTAAAGCTCAGGCTACCAAATTTGACATCAGTAACAAGCCAGAAAACATGGCTTTTTATTCCTTTTACTTTCAGCCTATCACCAAATCTTACTGATTCTCATCCTAAATTTCTGTCAAATCTATCCTTTTGTCTCCCAGCTCTCTTGCCACCACCCTAGGCTAAGCCAGGTAGGTGTTACTCAGAGTGCTGGTCTCTGATGTTACCAGGAGCTTTTGCCAAAATACAAGTCAGTTTACTTCTAGCTACAATGTGTTTAGTGTGATATTGATACAGATTCTGACATAGACTCCTTATTTTCATGCAGATGAGTTTGGGCTGCTAGTCCATGAATCACAGCTTGAATAAAGCACTATCTAAGCCATCATCTCTTAAATCTTCAGTGGCCTTCTGACTCAGGTCACCACTTTGACTTCTTCCCCTACACCTGTTTTTCCACAGAGTACTAAGAGTGATCTCAACTTAAAGTCCTATAACTTCCATTCTCAGTGCCCTTCAGTGACTGACTTTTGTCCTTAGTATAAAGTTCTCAGTCCTTAACATGGCTTACAAAACTCTTAATCAGTCCTCAGCTTGTCTTGCCATTTACTATATTGGACTTTTTAAAATAGCTTGCATATGCTGTATTTTCTTTGATTTCTCAGGCTTACAGCTTGATGTTGCATTTGCTTCTACTGCTTTCTCTTTGTCTTTTTATGTCCAACTCTTCCTGTTTTCTTTCAGGTTTGCAAGTCTCAGAGAGGTCTTCCATAAACTTCCAACTACATTACATCCCCTCCTTTTCTTAGTTCTCACTACCACACATCAGATTTATAATTATTTGTTAGATGTCTGTATTTTCAGTTTTACTCTAAGTCATGTAAGAGTGGGTAGCTTGTGTTCTTTGTTTTCTGCTGAATTCCTAGAACATTAGCACAGTGTATGGCACATTGTACGTATTAGAACTTTCATCCCATGTCACAACTCTCCCAGCATCTGTTGTGTTACAGATCTCTTCCATTTTGCAGTCATCCTTGTATATCTCAGTATATTATGGAATGAGTTAGTTCTAAACTTTGTAGTAGAGTTGCTACATTTTTATGCTTGTTTAAGCAGTGGAGGTTATATAACGTTATAGGCAAAAAATATAAGTTTAGAAAGCGAATCTCAAGCCTACCTCTCCTCTTCTAGTGACAGTTGTTCCATATGAATGGGAGATGAAAAATGTGTCTTAAGCACTGGGAATTCAGTTAGCTGGCAAGGTGTACCTTTAGGTTTTGCTGAGGAGAATTTATAGCGTTCTTCAAAGTATGGTCCAGAGCCCACCTAGGTTCTTGTCATGTAGATTGCTTGTTTAAAAAAAAAAAAGGGGGGGGTCTCTTAGGTATCCTGAATTAAGAAATCATAATCTTTGGGGGTGGCAGCTCAGTGCTCTGTTTCTGTTTGTTTCTGAAAGCTCTGGGAACCACTGCTATGTAAACGCAGTTTGAGTGATAGAGCCAACAAAATTCTTTTTATATACTAGTTAAAATTTTTGGCAGTTATTTTCAGTTAATTGGAAAATTTTGCCCCCTAGCATTTTGCTTTATAAGAGAATAACAGCTCAGAAAAAGATTAACAGTGGAGGTATTAGTGAGGGTTGGAGAGAAAAATTCAACAATCTCTTGAATTTGTCCTAAGGTTTCATATATATTTCAGTCCAATTTCTAAAAAGGTCATGCAAAAGTGTTGGTCTATTATCAAAATAATACTAGATTTACATGCCTAATGGATCTTGGTCTATATAAACATCAGGCTTAATCTATTGATGTATTATCAGAAGAACTGTCTTTTCATTTTCACAGTGATTTATAGAGCTAAACATTTTTTATTTCTAAACCATTATTTTATACAGTAAATGTTTATTCTTCTAATGAAAAATTAACAATATATTCCCTTGTTCTTTAGTTTGTTCTAGGCTTATATCCAGCTGGAGGAGAAATGGTGATTATGTAGGACCAGGAAAAAAAAACAACCCATAATATTCATAACAGCAGCATATGTCTTTTAAAATTCACATTGTACTTTCACATATGTGATCTTTTATTTAATCCTCAAGGTAACCTTGTGAGGATCCTGGCAGCCATTATCATCTCTGTTTCCAGATTAAGAAAGATCCTGAGATTCAGAGAGGTTAAGTAACTTTTTCAAGATGACCTAATTGAGTGTAGGCTTTCAACTCTAGAGCTTGCACTCTTCTATTCCTGAGCTTTCCTGGGATGACATTGCATTTTCTAATTCAACAGTCTATTTTGATTCAGGTTGAGCACCTCAAGTTAAGGAAATAATAGTATTTGCCCCAGTTCATGGGAATTGCTATTATGCATTACAGTGATACTTATTTGGCTTGAGGCACTTCATAAAATGTGACATCAAAGTACTTCTGCCATCCAGCAAAAAATGTGTATGTATAATAAAATTAAAGTATTATGCAGACTATTATGGTATGACTTTGGCAGGACTGACTATATTTGTAATCCTTGTTTATTTTTTTAGATTGAATTATTTGCAGATTTTTTTTGAATTAAAAGCATTAGCATATGTGTTTAACTGGTTGTATTTTAGATTTAAGTAGCACTTTCTATTTAAAGAAGATAGTATTTGTGGAAATGAATACATGTACAGTTGGGATAACAAAGAATGATGTATGATATTTGATCCCTTTCCTGGTGTCTTTTATGTGCAGGTCTTCATTGTTGGGGTTTATTGTCAAAGTCCTGTTCTTTTCATTCCTTAAGACTGCTGATATACTTTATTCACTTTTACAGGCCCTAGATGGTCAGAATATTTATAATGCTTGCTGTACCCTAAGGATTGATTTTTCCAAACTTGTGAATTTGAATGTAAAATACAACAATGATAAAAGTAGGGATTATACTCGACCTGATCTTCCATCTGGGGATGGACAGCCTGCATTGGACCCAGCTATTGCTGCAGCATTTGCCAAGGAGACATCCCTCTTAGGTATGATTTTTATTGTCTATACCACTTTTCTCCCATTTTGCCAAATGGGAAGGTGCCTGTTAAACTCCAGTAAGTATAATGAATCCCCCATTTTGGAATTTAAGAAATTGTGTTAGGCTTTATTTTATTTTTTTGGATAAGAGGCATTTGAATGCTGTTGGTAGAAAAAAACCTAAAGTGTTAGGAAAATTCTTTCAGCTATATTCCTTTCACCGTCCTCATTTTCTCTCTCAAAGTAAAAGAAGAAAAGCTCTAATGAAGAAATACTGTTGAGTTCTTAATTTCACATTAAATTTGATGTCACACTGTCTAGGTCTAAGCCAGTTTTAGAGTCCTTGTGCATATTCTAATTGTTATAATTTAGCACTGCATAGAAACGGTGGAAAGTGAACAGGCAAAACATGTAATGGAAGTAGTCATATGGATTTTTTTCAACACGTGTTATAGCCCCCTGTCTCTTAAAAAACAATTTAAACTAGGAAGAATTTTCTATAAGATTTATTTTGGTATTCACATTTTATCCTAATCATTTATATTTCACCTCATTCTACAATGGATTTGACTCACCTCACACAGACAAGAAAAACAATGCAAAAATTTGCAACTATTAGTTGATGGAGTCAAGATAAAGAAAAAATAAGGGAAAGTGTTATTTTGCAAATGAAATGAGTGAAGTGATTTATAACTTAAGATGAAATTTTATAGTTTTATTTGCTGTGCTTGGGAAATTCTTGGTTTCTTATATATGTGTATTTTATCTTTAAGTGAAAGTTTCTGTCCATTTGGAACTGAAGATTGATGAGTTATAAACTAGCTCTTATAGTTCAGTTTATGTCTCTCAGTAAAAGTATATTATAATGAAGTAATTCTTGCAAGTAGATAACATATTTACTGTAGATATGTAACACTTGTGCTATTCATTATAAATATGTAGTAATATAAGTGATATATCCATGAACAGAGACACCTTATGCACAAGAGAAGCAATTGATACTTGAAATTAATCCTGGTAACTCCAGACAATATTGACCCTTTATTCTGATTTTCTAATACATCTAGCACAAACAAACCATAATTGTTTACCATAATTTTAACAGATTCTTTAGGTTAATAACATTCTTTTCTCACAGAATCTCTTACCACTGTGTGGGCTTAGTTTAAGCCTTTATTCCCTCAACTTGGCTTGTTGACTGTTTCATAGTGTACCATTTTTAAAGGTAAAGTCAAGAATGGGACAGTGAGTGATACATGATCTTTGCTTATAATTATCACTATAGATTCTTAAATTATTTACTGATAGAAATTATTTTATTTTATAGAAGAGAAAAACAGCGTTGATTGAATAACTCCCAGGTCCTAGGCATTCTACTAGGCACAGTAGATGTACTGGATTAGATACATTATTTAATCCTTAACACAAAGTAGATAAATTGAAGATTTTACATACAGTTTCTGAGAAGTTTAAAAATTCACACCCAGGTCATTAAATAGCTTAGTGTAAAATATCAAGAAATTCTAGCTAGCATCAAGCACGGGACCATAACAATCCCTTCCTTGGACTTGAAGGAGTTTGTGCGTTTTGCCCATTTGGGTATAGTTAGACATGTCTTTGTGTGTTTGGATTCTGGGTGGAGTCCTGGTTAGAAGTCACCTGGATTCTTCTAGGGAATTCATCTCTGTTTTCCTTGTAACCTCATGGCCCTGGTGAAATTTCTTTTAAGTAGTAATGAAATGTCTTTCTCATAAAAGATTATGAAGCCCTGGCATAATTGTATCCTACTCTATACATTTATTATTCATTTTTCCGGTGTTCTGCATTTTTTGCATTAAAAGCATATCACTACTTAATAAATTTGTCTTCATCTTCTAGCTCTATTTTGAATATTTCAATATACCTTTATTTCTGCACTCTGATAAGAAAGATGAAGATAATGTAAATTCACCTGTTTTTACTAAATGACTTCATCATTTACCTGTTTTAATGGTTTTGCATCTTGTTATAACTGGGTTTTTATATTAAGTATCTCCAGATATTTTTTGAATGTTAGATGAGTTAAAAGTTTCAAAAATCAAATAATGGTATGGACTCTGGTAGTTTTGATAATTTACAAGAGGTAACCATTTTTTCTTTTCTATGTAAATATGTAATTTTATACAAAATTAAAATCACACTGTGCAGTTCTGTGTTATGTTTTATTGTAATTGTTATTTTGGTAAAAATTTTTAGAAAATTTTAATAGCTGTCTAGCATGCTAGTGGATTTGTAGTACTTTTGAAAGTACCTTTATTGGACATTTAATCTACTTCCATACTTTTTATTAACATATATATGGCATTGTGACAAACACCCTGTAGATAATTTTTTTGTCTTTCAGATTATTTCCTGAGACTAGATTCCTAAAGCTAGATTTATTGGGTCAAAGAAAATGTTAGAGACTCCTGATTCTTACTGCAAATTTATTTCTAGAAAGCTGATATTAATTTGAATGGTATATGAGGCTGGCTATTCCACTTTTTTGTCTACCAGCATTGAGTATTATATTTTGGATTTGTTAGGATATTAATTTGATAGGAATACGAATGTGTCAAACTATTATTTTAATTTTTACTATTTTATGAGCTAGCTTATAATTTTTAAATGCTTATTAGACATTTACAAGTCTCTGTATTAGTTGTCTAAGTTCTTTCTATTGGGATGTACAATACATGTAAAATGTGTATTAAGGGTATTCATACTTCATAAGAGCGGAGTCTTCAACTTGATTCACAATATTTTAGACTAGCCAGTTTATAGAAAAATTATTTTTAAATAATTTATCTCAATCCACAAGTATCCATCTATGGGACGTGAAGTTAACTTTTTTCCCCCCACACATTTGTGGATATTGTGATCTTTATAAGGAACCACTTGTGTTTTGCCTTTTAAAGTAGTTTTCAAACACCCTTTATATAACATTCAGTATTACTTTAGTGAGGTCACTTCTTCTGGAATGGAAACTAAATCTTTCCTATGTTTATTTGCCTCTAGTGAAATTTAGTAAGTCAAGTGACTTCAACATACAACAAACTAGTATCAATGGGATCCATTTCCTGCTGAGTCTTCCTCAAACAGTACTTATTCAAAATGAAATAATAGATCTCCCTTTATTTCAAAGATTCTGTAAGAACACAAATAACTAGGTAATCCTTCTTTTCTGCAAATATTTAGGGGGATTCACTTTACCTTGTATAATTTTTGTATCTAAGAGCTTGACTGAATTTGGAATCAATATATATTTTAATTGGTTTATTTTACACAATAATTTTTTAAGACTAGCTTTTATACCTGGCTTCTCTTCTTTTTCTTTTAGTAACTAGGGATTATAGTGTCTCAGAAAATTAATTTTTTCAAGAAGGAAAACTGAGGGCTTTGTAATTAATTAGAACTCTGACATCTAAATACATAATCACAAACCTGGCAGACTATTAGTTACTCACATATTCTACTTCATAGAACAAAGTGATAAAAATCCTTGAGATTTATAAATTGAGACATCGTTACTATGATCATTTTATCATGTTTAAGAAGTGTAGTTAATTTATTAAGGGGTGGATCACTTTTAGAAAAATTGCTAGGAGTAATTTTTCATGATCTTGTCTACCTTTTAAGAATTAGGGAAGATAATTTGTACAAAGAATACTTATGTTGAGCTTTCTATGCATTTTGAGTTGAATAAAGTAGCAGTCAGCCATCTCATCATATGGCCTTAACAGAAAGGCAAAACAAATTTTTTATGAGAAATCTGTTGACCTTAAAATAATTGATAATGGAGAACAGCTATAACAAACCTTTGTTCATAAAGGTAGATCTGTAGTTCCAAAGAACAGTGTCTAAAGTTTTTCTGCACATTGAAATCACCAGGCCCTACCCTACACTGAGAATCATGAATAGTGAGTCCTAGGAGTTTGTAGTTTTTTAAGATCTCAAGATGGTTTTACTGTGTAACTAGGGAATTGATAATTACTGCTATAGAGAAAAGTTTGTAATTTTTAGATGCTAAATTTTAGCTTTTTAGCAAAGTTAAGGCCATTCTCAAAGAACTTCTTTATAGCTATGAAACAGTATTTTATACTTTGTTTATTCATGCCAAATAAATATATCTTGGTATAATTGTTCTGGTAGAATATTGTTTAGCTGTTAAATTGAATTTGTTTTTTTCTGTGTTTGTAATATGTAAAATTAACAAGCTTTAAAATACTCTTTTAATTTTTTTTTTTTTTTAAGATTTTATTTATTTATTTGACAGAGAGAACAAGTAGGCAGAGAGGCAGGCAGAGGGAGAGGGAGAAGCAGGCTCCCCGCTGAGCAGGGAGCCTCATGCGGGGCATGATCCCGGGACTCCGGGATCACGACCTGAGCCAAAGGCAGCCGCTTAACTGACTGAGCCACCCAGGCGCCCTCTTTTAAAGTTATTTTTAAGTGATTTCTGAATCTTGTTTTGTTACTTTTGAATGGCTTATTCACATGGTAATTTTAAAAAACTTTTTACTGTCAGAGAGTTCAGTCATCATATAGCAATGTAGTGAATCCCACATTCGTAAAATCTTGATTTAGTAGTTTCTACACTTGTTTTATCTGTTCATTTTTTCTATTGTATTTTGAAGCAAATCCTTGACATCATGTCATGTCATCTCAAACATTATCATAATATCTTTAAAATAATGACATTTTCTTACCAAACGATAATATGATTATCATACCCATCAAGTTTGACAGTGATTTCTTAATGTCATTGAATACCCAATCCATCTTCAAATTTCCCCAGTTGTCTCAAAAAATGTATTTTAAGAGTTGATTTGTTCAGAATAGGATCTTCTCAAGGGCCATACATTTGGTTGTTATTTCTCCTAAGACACTATTAATCTGTGATAGTCCTCTCCCTTCATCTCCACCCTCAGTTCCTCTGACTTAATGAAGAAACCTAGTTACTTTGAGAAAAAGTCCTACAGTCTTGATTGGT